AATAAGATTACCGAAGAGACGACTCAACTATCGCTTGATTTACGAGAGAAACAAATTGACGAAAAAGAGGAACAAAATGAATGTCAGACAGAATGTAATGAAGAGTCGGACGAATCGGACGGAGAACTAGTCATTGATATGAGTGGTGGAGAAGAAGACAAGAATACTAATAGTGTTGACATTGAAGACGAAATGGAAGTAAAAGTTGACTGAAATTCTCATATTATTGTTATTGAATTTATTATCTTTATATTTAAATGTTTTTTATTACTTTACTTTGTTTTATATATGAATTTTATTGCCCAATCATTTGACAAATATTTGCAATCAATTTTTAATACTCTTTTTAAAACTGATTTATAATTTAATTTCCTTTAAATATGAAATCCGTGTAAAAGTTAATTCATTTACAATTTTTAACAGTTATCAGTTCTCATGAATTTTATTATAATTCTTTGCTTTCGAGTGAATATTTAAATTTTATTATAATTTTACATAATATTATTGACTGATTGTAGAAAAATATTAAACAATAATAAAAAAATCTATTAAAATAAATATAGTAAATATTTTTCCCCATTTGTGTCGATATATCCAATGAAGTGTAAGAACTTGTATTCAAATCTTATAATGGTTTATGTCATAGGCTTTATGCCATAGAGTGACTTAACAAACCGGTAATTTCCATCATAATTAAGCCCCGAATGAATTTTTTCTTTCTCTTCATCGATATGTATAATGTGTTTGAAAACAAGTTTTTGTAAAAATTTACGTCAGCTTTGAAGCCAAGGACTTTCGCTCACTTCTTACACAATGTTTTCATTCAACGAATCAAATTATTTAATCGTTTGTTTGAGTTAACGAAAGAAACATTCAGTTTGTTTGCCAAACATTTAAATTTAATTTTTCTAAACTATAGTTTGAATTATTATTAGATTTAAGTCAAGACTTAAGTCTATTTATAATCAAATCTTCGGAGAAAATATGAGTTTAAATGAATGTTCCGGTAATCAAATTGAGGGCTCAAACAACAACGAGGGGTGAGTTTTTGAAACAATTTTTGGTTTTGTGTTTCATTACAAAGTACATTAGTTTTATTGACATTTTATTCATTCAAATCAATTGTTTTCTTTCATAAAACTCTGTTTATTTAAGTGTTATTTTCAACGATAAATGTTATTTCGAGCCAAAAGTAAATTAAATTTATATATTAATGCAATTATTGTAACATTTTTATACTAATCGTTAAATACATAATTACTTCTGTAAAGTAATCTTTGGACAAAAATAATTTAAAAGTTTAAAATTATATTTAAATATATTTATATAAAATAGGGTTAATATTTGAAACTCGGAGCGAATATAAACCTGATTTACAGATGTAATACACTTTCAAAATACAGTATAATTTAAATAATTGAGAAAATATATGTAATAAATAATAGCCTTAAGGCAAAGTATTGCACAATTTCTCGTATTGTGCTAGTATTCATTTTCTTAATTAAAATTAAACTTATAAAAAATATTATAACAAACAAAAACAATGATATGACAAAATAATTGAACATAACCTTCACTTGAAATGTCCAGAGATTGTCAAACTATTGAAGAGTCGATTAATTTGGTAAACGAAGCCATAGATAATGCCATTGAAAGCAATGGACTCGAGAGTGCCGTTCAAATGCTCGAACCATACGCTCATAAAAGCTTATATCACAGCGCCTTCCGATCCATACTTATTATATTGAAAGCCGGACTCACTCTCAAAAAGGTATCATTTGATGAAAAAAATATATATTTCCTTTCAAAACGGTTACTTTAATTTCATTGTTGAGTATATTTAACACAATTTTTTGTGTCAAACAATTGTATTTGAAGGATGATTTGGAGAAAGCGTCTGAAGTCACAGAACAAACCGCTAAACTCAGCAATAAATACAGAAGGACTGGCTTTTTAAATAATTTAGTTAAATTGTTTAAAACACCAAATTATGACAAATATACTGATTGTAAGTACCAAAAAAAAATCATTTCCAATTAAGATAGTATTAAAGCATTTATTGTTTTTTAGTGGAAATACACGCAGAGCTAACTTATGCCAAATTCTTGGGTATGAGCGCTATATTGTGTGCATTGGAGGCACAGAATATCTACGCTCTCATCAAAATTGCATATCGTTTGCGATTATGTGTCAGTGCTTTCAAGTAATCAAAAGTGACATAAAATCCAATAAAATAGATATTAATTAATAAAAGTGTTCTAAAAATCACAGGGAATGCAAAACAATACTGAGAAACCGATCCATTTGGGAGTCGGAAACATCAAAACAACACTTCGAGGCCGGCGTACGGCTAGCAAATGGCATACAGCACCTGACCATCAGTCATATCCCACCAA